CATTGTTTCGCCGTGGAAGATGAGAATGTGGAAGAATGTGTCGAGCAATAAGACGGTCTCGTTCTGAATGGAGCTAGAGTCGAGCAAAACAGGCTGACCACCCTCGTGGTCGAAGCCGTAGCTGTCTAGTGTTGGCTGAATCATAATGAGGGAGTTGCTAACATCCTCGTGGTTCAAGACGTGACGGTAGAAGGCAGTTTCGTCGGGCGAATTGTTGAAGACTTGCAGGAACTGCGACCGACGAAGATGGAACATGAATTGCGGGTATAGTGTAAAGTTCTTCTCGAGCCTGGTTTAGTGGTTAGTATGTGATATCGAAGCGAGAACTATATGTCCAAAGTGATGAAAGACTTACCTGAATGACGACGGGTCGTCTTTCCTGTACTCGGCGAAGCGAGCGCATAGTCGGATAAGCATACGATCGACCCATCGAAGAACGTCAGGGCCATCGTCAACCTCAGCCTTGAAGACTGCTATCCTCGACATGAGGACGGCAGCAGCTTCTTGGTCAAAGGACTGGGCAATGGCAGGATCGCCAGATGGACCGCTCATGGGTCGGGCCACGGTGGTAACTGTGAATTTTTAGTATGCATGCTTAGTATAGACACGTTTCAGGGAGTTCATACCTCTCAAGTGATATTGACCAGCGGAGTGCTGATAGTATGTGAGGAACTGAATGAGAGCCTGTTGCTGCGAAGAGGTCACGTTGGACCCGCCTTGGTTGGCAATCTCGAAATAGATCGAGTATGAGGCTTCAGGGTCGATGCCACACATCTTCCAGGCGCATGTGTTTCCGATACCGCATTCCGTCTCACCAACAGAGACTGACTTCTTGTTCTGCGACACGGCGTGTCCAATAAGACCAGTGATCTTCAACTCTCTGGTTGTCAGCACCTCAAACTCAGCATTGAATCCCATAAGGAGGTTGTCGTCCGCATCCTTGTTGAAAACGCGCACGAAGGATTGCTTGTACATGGACGAGGTGAAGCTATCCGTTAGGATCATGTGTCCACCAGTGTTGTTTGCAAGACCCCTCATCTCAAGAAGACCGACCTGATCCAGACATCCGGCAAAGATGTCAACAATATGGCCGTTGTGGGAGATGCGCTTCGCAAGGCCCTCGTAGAACTTCAGTGCCTTCTTGTAGTACTTGATGTTGTCGCGGTCGATATCGTGGTGCGATCGGATGGGCTCGCGCAGCTCCGGGCCAACAACCATACCAGGTCCCTCGGTGGCTGGACCACCGCTAAACAACATGATGCGGGCGGCACTGTTCATGAAGCTCGTCTCCAGGAGTCCAGCAGCAACGCTGAGCGCAACACCGGTGCACCTCAAGGGACGCTTGTCGTTCGCGACCGGCCAGGGGTCCCGCTGGATTGATTCGAGAGCGTTGGTCAACTGCAATTCGCACTGCGATACGGGTAGGATGAAGCGCGTGCCAACGCCACCTGGAGCGCCCATAGGTGGTCGACCAGGCTGCTGTGGGACACCGGGTCGAGGAGCCATCTGGCTAAGGCCTAGCATCTCGTGCACTTGCTTGGTGGAATAGTCCTTGCTTCCGCGGAAGACGTACGACTTGGCGCATTCGGTGTAGCCCAGCTCGTGTACTTGTGTCTATTGCTGTCAGCTTATAACACTCATTGTAGCTTCCTGTACCTACCATTGTACCGTATGTGACCAGACCAACCAGCGCGTATGCTGGGAGCAGGCTCAAAGCCATGATGATCGAGTCCTTCAGCGCCTTCAAGCTGTCTTCCTCTTGACATGTGTCTACCACGAAAATGAAGATGGGCGGGCTCGGTATGGGTCGGGGAAGGCGGTATTCGATCGTGGTACTGTTCGGGTGCATCTCTGGGGGCATCTGCTGGTTGGAGATGTCCTTGTAGTGCGGGGGGAGGTGATTGCGGTTCAAGCAGAAGGGGCATATCCATTGGTTGGCGCGCATGTCAATTTGACTGTCTCCATGTCAGCTTGAGATAAGTTGGAAGAGACTATGCCAGACATACCAGTAGGGGTTGAGGATAGCTTTGCATGGCGCCCTGCAGCTGACAGGCTCATACTGGAGCAGCGGAGTGTCCGTCTTCTCCTTGAGAGGCGTGTAGTGTGCACCAATGGGGACGACTAGGCGGGAAGCTTCCTGTAGACCGCATCAGTACGTTGCGTCCCTCGCGCCGATATTGCCTATCGTACCATGCGCGTGCTGGGGAACGTGTTCCAGCTGAGACGGACGCCATCCCTGTCTTCAATGTCGCTCCATTGGTCCTTGAGCGCCTCGAAGTCGGCCATATTGGGCGGTTGCAGCTATGTGCGCTGCGCGAGGAGGTCTGGGGTGGGTGAGGGTTATCGAAGGTTGGTGGTGGAGGGACCGAGGGCGCCCACGATGGGAGATTTGGCGGGGCGGTGTGAAGTGTAGCAGGCGCGAGACGGGGAGCTGTAGTTGTATGCAGCAGAAGATACCGAGACGTGTCAAGTGTTCCTCCCTCAAGGCAACAACTGCACAGGATAATGCAACGTCGTAGGAAGCTCACGCACTTGAACTTGCGTGGATACCACAGTTGGCGATGCGGCCAGATGTTCTTGCCCTAGCGCTCCCAATCCGGTCTAGCACCACCGAAGCTCCGCTCCGCCCCAGCCTCAAAACCGCGATTTTCCTCGCCGTCGCTCTTTTTCTCTTCATCACCGCCAGCAACAAATACACTACGTAACGGCAGGCTCCCATTTCTCTGATGAATGAGCCTGTTTTCGCGCTGCGCGAAGAAGAGATTTAGACCCATGGCTGGGCGCCCGATCTGGAAAACTCATTCTGAGTATACTGATAGGTTGGGAATCAGCAGAGGTCACATTCCATCATCGTGCAGTCTTCGTCATTAGAATATCGTGGACCTTCCATCTGGACTAGAAGGAAGCCTTCAAGGCAGGCAATTTCAATCCGCATCGTCAAGCAACGTGTTCTTCATACCGTACTCATTGTTGACCATGGTTCATAGTCTCGCTGAAGATAACGTCCACCTACTCGATCACTGTAGCCTTCAGGCAATCGTACACGTCACTTCTGATGTTCAGACCCATCCAGCTCTTTAAAGAGCCTACGCTAGTTAGCAGCCTAACGATTGATGACATCCAAGGGCTTCCCTTTTTGACGACGCGTTTGTACAACGAACTCAAGTCCTTACGTGGGGGCAAAAGCCCCAATCACTACATTCCTATTCAAGCGGTTCGTTGCGAGGCGAGCGTGGCCGTCTTGATTCTGTCAGAAGCGTCTGATGAATATGGAGCATTTGGACTTCATGTAACTTATACAACGACAACCACGTCGAACACCATGATCGGCCGCAGTCTACGGATCTAATTACACATTGCCGGAGACACTTCCGATGTTACCGTTGGAGCCTCCAGATCTGCAGCTGTGTTTGGACGTATGCGAACTCCTGATATATTAACAATCTGAGTCCGATCGGGTAAATGCATCCCAATACACTAGCCTCATCACCTGCCAATGTACTGTACGACGCATTAGAACTCAGGTATGGCTGTTCAAAATTGGGTATATATGTATTCGCGATGTGTGTAGCAACGCTTGCTTGGTGCTCTCTGTATCCTCCAAGTCCAGTCTATCCTACAGTCCATGATCATGGCTCGCACCTCTGCACTTCTCATCTCGCTTCTTGCAGGTCAAGCCTACGCTCATACCTTCATCTGGGTATGCTCAGCCATCCCCAACTCCCCAGTCCCTATACTAACACCCCCAGGGCGTCTTCGTCAACGGCATAGACCAAGGAACCTTCAAAGGCGTCCGCATCCCCGCCTACAACGGCCAAAATGGCAAAGGCGGCTACAACAACTCGCCCGTCAAAGACCTCAACTCCATCGACATGCGCTGCAACGTCATGGGCGACATCCAAGCCCACGACACCATCAAAGTACAGCCTGGCGACAATCTAACTTTCGACTGGCACCACGAGAACCGCAACAACAAAGACGAAGTCATCGCCAACTCGCACCATGGCCCCTCGCTCATCTATATCTCGCCTGATCCGCCGACTGAGAACTCCTTCGTCAAGATCTGGCACGAGGGCAAGTTCGAGAGTAACCCGTTCCCGCAGGCGGGCAAGTGGAGTACTACGGGCGATATTGCGATGAACTTTGGGCATATGAATGTTAGGGTGCCCGAGGGGCTGAAGGCAGGACACTACATCATTCGTGCGGAGATGGTTGGTTTGCACGAGGGCGATGTGAGCTATCTCGCGAACCCGAAGAGAGGCGCACAGTTTTACCCCGACTGTGTTCAGATCGAGGTTGAAGGCGATGGCGAGGTGGAGTTACCTGAGGGTGTGAGCTTCCCTGGAGCGTACTCTTATGAGGATCCTGGTGTTGTGCACAACGTGAGTCTCTCCTGCCTAAGTACTGGCGTGTAGATCGTTCGCTAATCTGATGCAGGTATACTGCTCCACCGAGACCAAGAAGCCGAAGACTTCTACGACCCCATGCGTCACCGACTACGTTATCCCAGGTCCTACCGTATGGTCTGGTGCCTGGGCTGAGACTACCGCTGTCCCAGTCGGACCCGTCGATGGTGTTACGACTGCTACTGCGTGGAGCACATGGATTGGTACCGATAGTGTTGTGACGAGCGCGACGTTTGCGGATGTGAAGAGTCAGACGATTGTGGGAAGTTCAAAGTACACTGCGAGTTGGAGCGACACGTATGCTACGCCTACTGCGACTGCTGCGCGTTGGTAGAAAGTGGTCGAGAGGATATGTGCAATATTTCGACGCAAATTTGAATACATTCATTTCGCTGACAGTCGTTCGCAGTTCATTTTCTGAAAGCTTTTCATCGCAGGGGCCTCTGCAGAAGACGTTGAGCCAATTCCCTTCTAAGTGCTTTTCCAATACCACGTGTCTTTCCAAAATGCAGATCGCAAAGCAGATCAATATTACTGCATAAACCACGAAAAGCCATACCCTCAGTTTCCTCACCTAGTCGCTGTCCATACTACTCAATCATCCAGGACTACGACTTCAGGCTTGCGCTTCTTTCCCTGTCCGTGCGCAGCGCCATCATCAGCGTGCTCGCGCTTGATCCGCGCTTGCAGTTCATTCGAGATGGGCTCTTGCTTGATCTGTACGCTTTCAACGTCTTCTTCCTGCAGGATGGTTAGTGACTTCCAGACCCCGACTTTGTGAGTTTCTTACCTCGTAATGCTTGAGCAGTAGCAGTAGACGCTTCCGGCTTTGACCCGCTAGTCCCTTGTTGTCGCCTCGGTAGTGCTTGATGAGAGCAATAATTTCCGAATCTCTGAGTCCGTCGTGTTCGGTAAGAATGGATTGGCCGGAATCCTGTTGGGACGGAGTGGGTGTGCTGCTGACGGTCTTTGGTCGTGGAGTAGTAGCAGTTGATTCCTCGTTCAGCATTCTTTCCAGCTGCGGGTTCAACGAGGGAATCGGTGGGTGAGGAATGATGCCGAGAGATTCGAGTACGGCTGTTGCTGTGTAAGTCCTATACTTAGTCCCAACAGTTGACTACTCACCGATCGAGCGATACTTGAACCGGAATGTAACGAAAGGCTCTTTTTCCTTCGCAAACTCAATTCGTGAAGGGGGTTTTATCGTCTGACTTGCAGCGAGCCTATACCAGCATTAGCATGGATTGGCGATACCAGATTGTGCAGTTACTTTATTGAATGAGAGCGCGAGCCGTCCTTGAAATCCTCTTCGGATATTGGCCCAACCATTCCCAAAGTCACCTTCCTACTGATTGGACGTGGCGATGGTCTCTTGCTCAGAATCTTTGCTAATGTGACGGATATGATCCCCACTGAGCTAAGATTCTCTTCGCAGGCGGTTCCTATGCTGTTTTCCACTTTGATGTGTCAGTTTCTGTATCTCCGCATGTGACAGCTCCAATGCAGCTTTTGATAGGAACTCGCATACCGAAATTGAGGCTAGAGAAGAGAAACTTAGATGCCCGCCATTCACCATTTTCCTTCCATTTATGCTGAAATTGTTTGTAGACCCTCGTCAGTATCTCATGCGGCTGTGCAACTTGTGAGTGCACTTTTTTGCCGTCCAGAGAAGTGACAATCGACGTGTCTATCGGCGCAAAAGGTGCCTTGAACTTCGTCTCTATTGCAAACTCGGCTCCTGACCGGCACTCAACGTATCGCGTGGTTGTCTTAGGCACATCTTCCTCTTCCTCGTTCTCGTATTCCTCAAGTGGTTTGCCGTCGATGTACATTTCAACCGTCAGGCCTGGGTAGTCGGCATGGATCGCCATGCTGATGTCGTAAACCGATTCGGGTGGCGGTGAGAGAAGTGGAAAGTAGATGTCAGCAGAGGAAAATGATTTAGGTGTCTCGCTTGTGGCAGGCAACAAGGCGCTTGGACACTGGACACTCTCAAAGTGAGGGTGAGCGAGGAAAATCTTGCTGCTTAGATACTAATGCGGTAAGAGCGAGGACGACTCAAATTGGCAGGAGCAACGAACTGACAGATAGGTGAGTGACCATAACACGAATAACAAACATCGGGTTTTGCTATGGTCTTCTTAGGACAAGTTAGTCACTAGTCCAAGCAACTGCTGCAAAGTAACATGAGCGTTAATCAGATATTGAATTGAAATATGTCTGGAGTCTCCAGCTCATATGTATGTGTCCATCCGACATGAACTTTTGCACGGCTAAAACACGCTCCTAGTCCAGCACGATAACCTCGTCATCCGCACCACGGTGACACTTCCGGTCTCTAGACCTTACAACCGTGACCTCCTCGTCATCGCTGGATCCGATAGCCTCATCGACCTGCTTGCGCTTGTCGACGGCTTCTTTCTTGACCTTGACTGCAGCAGCTTTTTGCTCCTGTAGTAGTGAGTATATGGTATTGTGAACCTCTACCATCAACATACCTTGAGCTGTTTGACAAGTTCGCGTAGTTCCTCCGGAGTGAGCTCTTCTTCGGGTCGCTCTTCCAGAGGTGGAGGGGTGGGCTCGGGTGGGACGAGACCCAGGATCCGAAGAGCATCTAACTGGGTCAATGAATGTCAAAGCCTGATGCAGACTGCTTTAACTTACTGATGGAGCGATACTTGAAGTTGAATGTTGCGAAAGGCGAGTCGGTTACATCGTCACAATCTACATAGCGCCCTCTTTCCCATGCTACGGGTTCAGATAGCCTATATATATTAGCGTCATTTATACTGTGTGCGGAGTAATGTACCCAGCTCTATGAGTGTAGGTCTGGCCTTTCAGCGCCTTTTCAGGGACTTGTATTGATTCTGAGATATTCCCGACAATGTGATCTGGGGTACGCGAGCGCAGGTTTCGTACGTAAGTCAAGTCGACAGTGATAGTGCTAGCTGATACCACATCAGAAAGGTATGTAGTACCGTCAACTTCAATCATTAGCTCGGCTTCAGAGTAATTTAAGTCCTTCTTCGCCTGAACTTACTGATTTCGAGCTCAGCGAAGCAGAATCTCTGTATCTTATAGTGTTCGCCGATTTGGGACTGACGGCCCTCAATCATTCTATGTTTGAAGAACTGGGCTTCGCTTATGATTGCACTCATCAACCTTCGCCCATCGAGACTGACCGCAGCTTCAATGTAACCCTTCGGGAAAGGAAACTCTTTTTCTATGAGTGATACTTTGATCGCGAAGTTGGCTCCAGATGTTGCTTCGACGTATTTCGTGACCGTCGTCGGCGACGCGGGAGTGACGCTATCGTCGTCGTACTCAGGGAGTAGAGCGTTATTGACGATGATTTCGACCGTAAGGCCGGGCAAGAATGGATGAACAGCCATGGCGTAGCAAGATATCTGGAAGTAAGTTGTATTACTGGTGGGAAGGAAGAAGGAAGGAAGGTCTCGAAAGCAGGATGCTCGGGCCCTTAAATACTGCGTACTGCTGAGCCGAGGTGAGAGACGCAGGCAAGGCGTGAATGGAGCTAAGGAGGTAAAGGCAAATATCATACTGACAAGTGCTGGCATGCTGTAGGGACATGAGCGGTGACTAAAGTTCCCGAGTGGCTACATCTAAACATTCCTAAATATGTAGAAAGATGTGTTCTTCCATGGCGATTAGCCTAATCATTCGTACACGCCCCTAGAGGCCGTCCCATATATCAATGCTTTGGCAGTATGCTTCCATGCGTAAAATTCGAGTCGGTCCAGGGTTCGGAGTTCGCTTCCATCTCGAACTATGCCGTCTTTTGACTTCTATACCACCTTGAACTCCGCGCCGTGAAGATAGAATAGATATCCTCTCTCAGTCTAACACGATGATTTCTCGCTCCACGTGCGGACGTTTGCGCTGTCGCGTCTCGACATAGGTCACTTCGTCGTCATCATCATCGATGATCCTCTCGCGCTTGACTCCAGTAGTGGCTTCATCTTCGGTCTTGATAGAGGTGCTCTCAGACTCTCGCTATATATACGTAAGTATTAACGCCGGAGATTTGCGGCGCATACACACTTGTTGCGCACGGTTTAGCAGTTCTCTCAGCTCTTTGGGCGACAGGTCTTTTGCGAGTTTGTCTTCCAGGGGGACAGGAGGCGCTTCGTTCATGGAGACAAGATGAAGTGCTTGTATGCTCGCTTGAAAGTCATAAGTGTCAGCGGGTGGCACTATATGAGCGTGATCGTGACTCACCAAGCGACCGATATTTGAAGTGAAAAGTCGCAAATGGCTTCTTGTCTACAAATTCGTGGTATATCCGTTGACCAGAGCATTTTGATTGGCATTTCCGGGGCTTTGATAGGCTTTTGAAGAAGTCAGTTCTTTGCTAATCAACAAATTTACCCACTCTCTACATACACTGCTTGGTGCGATAGGGCGTCGCCTTTGAGCGCCTTCTCTGGAATCTCCTGGAGCGCTGCAAGTTGCTGGTGTCTATCGTCGCTGTAACTTATCTCGTCAATGACCGTCTCATGGGTAATATCGATGAAGTTAAGAGATAGTGTAATACAGCCTTTGATGCTGAGACTCTGCTGCAGAGCAACAACATCAGGCGCAGCCTTATCGGCCTCTTCTACTGCACAAAACCGTAAGTGGATGACATCAACAGGTCTTCATAGTACTTGCGAATGTTCAGTTTGGCAAATGTGAATCTCTGTCTGACCCACTCGCCGCCTTGGTAAGAACGATAGCTATTGAACTTCCGGCCTTGGGAAAGTTCATCTCGCTTGAGTATCCAGTTCATCTCTACCCCGTCAATACAAACTCGAGCCAGAACACCATACTGATCTGGGAATGGAGGCTTGTAATCAGCCACGATCGAGAACTTCTCGCCTGAGCGCGCTTCGATGTACTTGGTAATCGTCTTCAGTGCAGTGGCTTTGTCATCGTCGTCGTACTCATGCAATTGCTGTCCGCGAACACAGATCTTGACTTCCAGACCAGGATGCTCGGGAATAATGGCCATTTCACTATGCTTGTCAAGCGGTCTGCTAGAGTTCGAGTCCAGGCCCGCGGTGATTCAGGACCCAGGGCGAAGAGGCGCTAAGCGTGACGCATCGGTGAAAGCGTCAGTGTGAGATGTAAGTTGGAAACCCGGACGAGCGGCGGGCAGTCTTTGGTTGTAGTAGGTGAGTCCGGTACGGAACGCGAAGACTTCAGCTGAGATGGAAGCAGTGAGTGTGCTGAAGGCTCGATGTTCAGTGTTTGCTCTATACCGAATACGGCAAGGCGCGATGGCTAGCGCGTGGTGAGAACTGTTGACGGGCAGGAGCGTAGGCAGGAGCGTCCGCTTCAGCACCCCCAACTTCCCCAGATCCGACAGAATTAGTACACTCGCGGCTGATTAGAAGACGGTGGAGGATGTCGAGATCGCTGGCTATTGAAGTGCCATCGTGCGCATTCACTGAGGCGGAAGCATGGACTCACCTCGCGTACAGCATGCCAGCAATGCAAGTCCCGAGAAGTCGAACGTGGTGAGGCGAGGCATGCTCAGCTTTTTAGATAATGTGAATCAGACCTCATCTGATACGGCGGGTGCATCTCTTCTGTGGCGAAGATGGCGAAGATAGCAATTAGGAATGAAGCATCGTGGCACGGGTTGCACTGAGAGAGAGCCTCGAACAACAAGCATGCGATTAGCAAACTAAAGATCTACGTTAATTCAGCTACTCAATCATATTACAACTTGAAATGCATCAAGCTCGCAAGTGTAGCTAGGAAAGCGGTGACTGACCACGTAACATTTGAGTTTTGGAATGCCTCCCTAGGTTGGTCACGGAATGTGAGAGGCGCCAAAGAATGTTGTTGCTAGAGACGAAGCGAATTCGTACGGTGTTGAGCTCATAGGTAAGGCTATTGGTAAAGACCCCGCTCGTTATGTCTTTAGTATATCTGAGTATCTTGATCTTTGGCGCGAGCCAGTCGTTCGCAATCAGTGTTAATACCCGCCGAGGGGCGTGTATGCTCGTATGAGGCACGTCCGATTCTCACTCGCGAATCAAAGTTTTCATGTGGCCCTAGAAGATCCAGAACAGAACCATAAAGGTGATGATCAGTGTGAAGAGGAGAAGGAGCATAGACTGCGGGGTCGTTGAAGCAGCCGCACTAGTTGAATGATATGCACCATAGACCATCCAACTCTGAACATCACATGTATACAAAAGCTCTCTATATCTCAAAACTCCACATGCCTGCGAAGACCAAGATCGCTGCTAAGGCATCAACAACATTAACGCTAACGCCCATGTACACGTGGAATCCAGTTCCACGGTACAATTTCGCCGACAGACATCCAGCATACCTAGGCAACCTTACATACAGCCCAAAAGCTTACACCTACATCAAGGATCATGGCTTGCGAGGCTGACATGCAGGTGGCCAAAGCCTACGCGGCCCCAAACGAGCAGCGCTGACAGTGTCGCCATGTGGAGACACACTACTGATCGCAGATTAGCGAGAGAACAAGATCTGAGAAAGCGCAACCCACAGACAGAGGGCTTAGCGCACGAACACCCGTATTGAGACCCGCGTTGAGCGTACCGTTGCCTGAACCATCGTAAGCTAGCTTGCTTACCATCATCAGCCTCGCAAGAGGCTCGTAACGTGGACTAGCTGCCTGCACCCGGCTATTTTGCGCCGATGGTGTATAGGATTCTCGTATGCAGTGCGTATGGGTTTACTTCGGAGCAACGACGGACCTTCCACCGACTGCGACAAAGATTCATGATCTGTCAGCGCTGAGTAACGCATGAATAATTTGCAAAGGGTCGCGTGGAATCCGGAGATAACGCAACTCCGCGCGTATTTCGCGCTTAAAGTGTGTCTCGGCGTAAAGTCGCTTTATGGTACGACCGAGGTGATGCCACCGGTTAACGAAAGAGGAAGCAGGAATGCTTTTGCAGTGTTGAGGGCCAACAGATTGCGAAGAATGCAGTCAGCGCAGAGGGTGTGGTGAGATTTGACTCGGCAGATCTCCGAACTCGACCGACCGAACGACCGGATGAACTCCGCATCGCGGTATTGGTGTCGCAGGATCCGCTAGATCAGGTCGCATCTCCACTGACAAAGAAGCAATTATCTTGGTGATGCATCAGTCAGGAGAGCGGTTGTGACTGAGCGCATGACGGATGACGTTGCAAACCAGGTCCCGAATGCCATGAGGCACAAAACCGGAAACGGTCGACGCCCTGTTACATTTCCGAGCCTCACGAACCCCAAAAGAACCGTTAGGTGGAAGAACATCGGAAGGCGCTTGCCCTGCATATGCGAGCAGGACTTGTAAAATTCTTATCCCGGCAGATGGAGAACAGATAAGAGCATAGGAATAGAAATACCTGGGCGAGCATTGCTATGCTATCCATACATACTTGAAGATGTATAGTGACCGGTGCATCGAATATGTCACAGCTGCGTTGTGAGTGGAGAAGTCACAAACACGCGACTATCAGGCCTCAGGCGTCATGATCGGCAGTCATGCTTCCTGTCATAGCAGGTGGACCGGCAGAAACTTTGTCGAAAACAAGCAGACGCAGGGTCTCATCATCCCGCGCTCGCGGATTGGCGGGCACAAGGGCTAGGGATGGTGCCCGCTCAGCCGTTGGCGATCGATGACCACATCGGGCGAGCTTCGAGAAGTGATGGGCAGTTTCAATGACCAGCAGGTTGTCGACTAAGACGTCAGGGAAAGGATATTCATTGGGGACATATTGCTTCGCAAAAATAGAAGCGCAAAGCAGGAGTTCTGCACGGCAGTCGTTTGGGATGGATGGTGAGGGAAGGGATGGTGAGGAGACTTCGGAGAGATGATGTCATGGACCCTCGTAAGCGATGAAATAGCATTCGTTCGGTCCGACGGAGATGGACGCAATACGAAAGCGACTGCAAGGACACAGTATTCCCCATGGCATGAGAATGCAAAATATGAAAGAAGAACTCGGGTTGTGGCATCGAAGGATACAGAAGTCTCGGGTGGCAGCGCGCCGGCTTAGAAATGTGGCTAGTAACTTCGACGCGCGAATGAACGGTCCAGATCGCCTCGCGGCCGCCGGAACAGTTACATTGTCCGTGCATACGATAGGGCTGCACTGCCACATGGTGATGCGATGGACCCTGCATTTGTGTCCTTCTCCACCGATCTTACCCGTTCGAGGCCGTCGATGCGATGCCACGTTGGTTTTAGGGCTGCATTGCAACTCCACAGGATGCTTGCAGCACGTTGCATATGCCGTTTATTCAGCAGGGAGAGTCTCAGTGAAGAGTTTTCCTTGTGCAACCTTGGCTGTGCTCGACCTGTGGCTGTCGGGATGTTGCACGGCAGTGCCGTTGTTGAGTAGAGGATGCTGCCAGTGCCGAAGCGGAAGTGGAGGTTCCACCTGCAGGATAGACGGTATCTGAGCTGACCTCGGATGCAGATGCTAGTAGTATCGCAGCTGGTAGGTGCACATCCCAGTTTATTGGTTCGTGGATCGATCTCCAGTTTCAGCATCTCTTGAAGAGATGTGCATTGTGCTAGCCAGCAGAGTGGTCCTCGGGAGCCGTTTGGCCACCAGATCCAGCTATCAATAGTACAGAGTATGGGGTAGGCTATTGACGGTTATCTCCAAACGATACCGCGTGGCCTCGCGTCCAATACACACGAGCTGAAAGCAGTATCATATCACGGCTTTGGGCCCAACAATCCAACCATCAAAGAGCAACTGTGAGTCACGCGTGAGGACATGTGACCACTGTAGACGCTGGCCGAGGTGTGGCTGGTGCCCGTCGCGTACTCCATCTGGTATTCGTAATGCACATGCGCTGTCGAGTAGGTTGTGCATGGAACGATGCTGCTCAGCCCGTCTTGGAGCATCGTAGTCCCAGCGAGCCTAAACGGCCAGCTGTTAGACCAGATACGGGCGTGTCACCATGGACAGACCTTTGGAATTGGTCCGTCGCACGATGCCCTACAAGCTACATGCCGACTGCACACTAGAGCAACTGGCATAGCGATGAGTAACGGTTCGGTTCGTAGGGCTCCGTTTCACGTGGAGAGCATGCCTGCAGAGATCGCCTAGATGGGCACAAGCGATTGCACAGTATTTTGGGAGCAAGTCATGGACGCTGGGGGAAGGCCTCTCGGCTGGTATCCGAAGGCATGTGGAAAATTCTGTATGGTAGACAGTCGTCTGCCGGGTTCTGCACAGCCTTCGGTCGGACAGGGCCCGCGGCGGCCGTATGCAGGGTGCGTGAGGGTGGTGTCGATCGCGCCGCTTTTGCGCGTTGGCGTAATGTTAGCGTAGACACCCCTGCAAGCCCAACATGGGTTGCGTCATAGGATGAGGTATGAAAGGAAACCGATTCCGCGTACTCAGCAGCCCAAGCCGTTTAAACTGTCGCTCAGCAATTTGCAATCTCTTACGACACACACACATACACCTTAATCCCGACACTCCGAGCACAGCCGACGCAGACTCTGAATTCTTCGAACGTCTTCGACCGCGTGCTGCCCAGATCACCTCATCAAGTGGTCTTTCACTCAAATCGGCGAAGACTAACCGAGTCATCGGCCGGTAGCCCACTAGTATAAAGCAACTTGCCACCCGCGCTGGTCCCTTACTTTTCCTCCCGACCATTATGTTAGCGCTACCCACACAACGTCACCACCTTTCAACCATACCGTCACCACCGTCTTCACACTCCTCCTATCAACACCTGCCCCAGCAGTTTGCCGCACAACACCTCTACGACCAGAAGCTCCTCAACGACTACCTTGAGTCCCAGCAGCAGTCTTACGGCACTTCATCCAGCAGTGCACCCAACTCGTACATGACGAGCGCATACACCGACTTCGCGAACCCGGCCATCCGAATCCAGCAGTCGACACCCACACCGCAGCTTCCCCAGGGCTTCGCACAACCGCCTATGCTCTCGACCAGCAACGCCAGCACGGGACTTGAGTCCTGGAACTATGGTAACGTGCAGGGCCAA